CCCTGGGCGAGCCAGGCTGGGGTGCTGCCTGCTGGGCTGGTCTGGGGGCAGCTGGATTCTCAGTAGCAGGCAGAGAAGGGACTCAACTCTGCATCATTCCACACTGGCAGCTCCAGGCATGGCAAGGCCGGGAGGGTTCTAGTGCCTTTCCCAGCTCTTGTGGCTCCAGGCGTCATGGGCGAGGGCCACGTTGGCCTCATCTTCACACAGCTTTCTCCTATCCTCTGTCTCAGATCTCCCCCACCTCTGCCATAAGGACACTTGTCCCTGGTTTTAGAGCCCACCTCAGTAATGCAGGATGATAGTATGTTATTTGCAAAATTCCTAATTATATCCATAAGGACATTTTTTCCAAATGAGGTCATATTCGCAGCTTCCTGGGATTAGGACTTGAATATCATTTGGGAGTAACTATTCAACCCACTCCAGTCCCCATCAATTCACATTTGCTTTACATGTAAATTCCATTCCACCCATCCCAGTATCCAAATCTCATCATCTCAAAGGTCCCAAACCTCACCTTTTAAATCATCTAGTTTGGATACTGGTGAGACCTTGGCGGTGGCCATCCTGAGCAAAATTCCCTGTGCACAGACTTTAAAATTTAGGATCCCTTTGTCTGCCTATATCCCAAACACAAAGGTGGGACTCTCCACTCCAAATGGGGAAGTCAGAGCATCAAAGTGTCACTGGTGCCACATAGGTGTGAAACCCACAATGGTCTCACAAGGTGGCATAGCCTGAGAGCACGTGGGCTCTGAGGCTGCACCCTGGTAGTCTGGGAACTTCGGGCCTGAGTGTCAGCGAGGCAGGGGCAGGAGGCCAGCATCCATAGCACCTCAGCCTGACACAGGGTTTGGCCTCACTTGTGTCCTACCTCTCCTAGAAATAAGCTGCTGGGCTGTGCCACCCTGGGTAGATGCCCACGAGAGGACAGGGAAAGGCAGAAACTGTGCAGTAGTGGTGTCTGCTTTGTGGCTTCTCTGGTATTTCACTCCTGGCCCCTATGAAATGCTATAATCTAAATAGAGTCCTGGGTATGTAGCATACAGTGCAAAGTGTCCACAAACAACAGGGTGGGTTTGTGACAGTTTGGGTCACCCCAAAGAGCCATCCGGCCTCGTGTGCCCTGTGTCACCTGCCTGTGATGCCAGGTACACCCTGCTGTCCATGCCTCTCCACATACATGTGTGTACACACACCAGCCTGTGGCACCTCAGCAGGGGTGGCAGGGATGTTAGGAGTACCCTCTATGCCACTCTTGGGGCCACTGCACTGACCTGGCCTGTGTCCTGCAGAACATCCGGTCTCTGATGGGTGCAGAAAAGACCAAGGGCTTCTGCCAGCTGGTTGTCTCCTCCAACCTGCGGGATGGCACCTCCCACCTGGTCCAGTCGGCCGGACTTGGGGGCATGAAGCACAACACGGTGCTCATGGCCTGGCCCGCGTCCTGGAAGCAGGTGGACAACCCTTTCTCCTGGAGGAACTTCATTGGTAGGTGAGGCCAGCGTGGGCTCTGCATGGTCCCAGGGAACATGGTCTCCAGGCTGACTGTGTGCACCAGTGTGTAGGGGCTGATGAGTCAAGGGTAAGGGTTCCACCGGGACCCCACTACCTTGCCCTGTCTGCCTCCCGCAGCTGCTGCTGTCTGGGCACATTTTGGGGGAGCTTAGCCCTCCATGTGCTCTCATGTTCAGCTCGGGGCTCCCAAAACCCCCCTGCCCTGGCGACCCACCTGTGGTGGCCTCTCCCCACAGACACCGTCCGTGACACCACTGCGGCACAGCAGGCCTTGCTGGTGGCCAAAAATGTGGACTTGTTTCCACAAAACCAGGAGCGCTTTGGCGGTGGGAGCATTGACGTGTGGTGGATCGTGCACGATGGTGGCATGCTCATGCTGCTGCCCTTCCTCCTGCGCCAGCACAAGGTGGGTGGCAGGGGCGGTGGGAGCATTGACGTGTGGTGGATCGTGCACGATGGTGGCACGCTCATGCTGCTGCCCTTCCTCCTGCGCCAGCACAAGGTGGGTGGCAGGGGCGGCTCCCAGCAGCTCCGAGGCTGAGCAGGTGCCTGCTCCCCAGGTGTGGCGCAAGTGCCGGATGCGCATCTTCACAGTGGCCCAGGAGGACGACAACAGCATCCAGATGAAGAAGGACCTGCAGACGTTCCTGTACCACTTGCGGATCAGCGCCGAGGTTGAGGTGGTAGAGATGGTGAGCGCAGGCCCAGCTACAGGAATGCAGCTTGTACCCCTCTTTGGCACCTGGCGTGGCCACAGCACGCTGCTCACTCCCAGGGAGCAGCTCGGTGCCTCCCTGTGCTGTGTGCCTGGACACCCTTGGGCCCCTGTGCAGGGCCCCACATTGCATGGGAAAATTGCTTTTTGGGGGGGGAGAGGGACAGAGTATCACTTTGTTGCTCTCAGTGGAGTGCTGTGACATCCTGGCTCGTAGCAATGTCAAACTCTGGGGCTCAAGTGATTCTCCTTGTCTCTGCCTGCCAGGTAGCTGGAGCTACAGGCACCCACCATAACACCCTGCAATTTTTAGAAACAGGGTCTTGTTCTTGCTCAGGCTGGTCTGGAACCCATGAGCTCAGGCAGTCCACCTACCTACCTTGGCCTCCCAGAGTGTTAGGATTACAGATGTGAGCCACTGCCGAGCCAGGACAACTGCCTTATGCTCATGGCTTTTTAACTGCAAGTGAGAGGGGCATTTCTTCATGTTGTTACTGATGACATTTTAGGTTCCTTGTGTCAGTCCTATGAACTTGATTATTCGTTATTTTTTTTTCTTCTTACTCTGTAGGGATTTTTATTTTTTTATTTTTGGTAACAGGGTCTCACCCTGTGGCCCAGAGCTCCATGGCCACTGCTCTCCACAGCCTCAAACTCCTGGGTTCCTGCGCAACTCCTGCCTGGGCCTCCCAAGGCACTGAGTCTGCAGGCACGAGGCCCACAGATGCAAGGATGTGGCCCTTGTCACCCACTGGGTCTTCTTCTTCCATCCAGCTTTGTATAGTGGGTTTGGGGTCTGCTACTTTGTTGCAAGCACCGGGTTTCCAAGTAATGTTCCTCCTGGTGTGACTTCTGGATTCAGGACCTTGTTTGAACAGGCTTCTGCCTTCCAAGGCTATGGAGTCACTTGTCATAGCTTTTGCTTATGAGGTCCCCACTGTGGAGTTGCCTTGTGCATGTTACTGGTTCGTTTTTGTTTGTTTTTAAACAGTGTCACTCTTGTCACCCAGGCTAGAGTACTGTGTTGTCATAGCTCACAGCAACCTCAGACTCCTGGGCTCAAGCAATCCTCATGCCTCAGCCTCCTGAGTAATGGGACTACAGGTGTCTGCCACCACACCTGCCTAATCTATTTTTAGTAGAACTTGGTTAGCTGGTCTTGAGTTCATGACCTCAAGCTAACCTCCTGCCTGGCCTCCCTGAGTGCTGGGATTATAGGCATAAGCCACTATGCCCAACTGGTGTTACTGGTTTTAATAATCATTCCAATAACATTATTTCCAAGTTATGAAACAAAATGCTGCCTGGCCTGGTGAAGCAAGGCCGAGCCTGTGCACCAGCAGCCCCCACCGAGCTTGTGTCCCAGCCTCCCCACCCCTGCATATCTGCTCCCACGGCGTACCAGCCCCCTCCCTAGTCTGCGTACCAGTGCCCCACCCCTGCCCCTCAGCCCCTGTGGCTAGAGGCTGCATGTGACTCCTGCATGGGGTTTGTCTGTCCTGGAGCCCAGGGCACCTGTGCTTTGGGTCTGTACCCAGAGCAGCAAGTCTGGAGGGATATGTGGGCCAGGGTTAACAGGGATGTTTGGTCTGATGCCTGGTTTTTTATGCTGTGCTGTGGAACTGTCTAGGTTGAAAATGACATTTCTGCGTTCACCTATGAAAAGACTCTGATGATGGAGCAGAGATCCCAGATGCTGAAGCAAATGCAGCTGTCCAAGAACGAGCAAGAGAGAGAGGTGGGTCCAGAGCCTCAAAGCCCCTCCCAGAGTGCGCAAGGCTGCCGAGGCCAGAACTATGGCGGGGAAGGTGGTGGTCAGAGGTGGAGAAAGGGGTGCTGGCTGCCCCCACACACCGACACACAGGCACACAGACACAGATAGATGTAGACATGTAGACACACAGATAAACAAACACACAAAGACATGTACACATGCAGACAGACACGCAGACATGTACACATGCAGACACAGACACCTACACATGCAGACACAGACACCTACACATGCAGACACAGACACA